AAGTACACGCTGTGAATTCTGCAAATGGTAAAATAACAGCTGGTGCAGGAGCTGCTCTGATGGCCAGTCAGTATGCTGTTCAGGGGATCAGAACAGAGGCAGGATGGATGACATTGATTTCTAGCTTGGCAGCCTGTACACGAGGGGTGTACAGGATGTAGAACAGATACTGTTGTTTGTCTGATGACATTTGGATGCCCTTAAAACCTGTACACAGAGAAAGCAAAGCCGCCTTCCTGAGGCACAATAGCAACTCTCAGATTTCTCCACTATGCAGGAAAACTGGATAATTCCCAATCTCCGTTTACTGGCAAATTTGGCACAAGAAGGCCAAGTCCTAGATCTGGATAAGAAATCTCTGGATGCACATCCAAGTACTATCGATATTCAGCAAATATTTACTACTGTGTGCCAGGCCCTGTCCAGGAAGCCAAGAGTACAACAGTGAACAAAGGAGCCAAAAGTGCTGCCCTGGCAGAGCTCAGTGGAGGGCACTAAGAGCTTATGGAAAATGGAAGTAAAAGACACATTTATTTTGACGTGGGACAATTTTGAAATCCGTGCAGTTTCTTCATAATACACGTTTTCCACAAAGTTTCTGAAGCCCCCTCATTATGCACGAATTTCAAGACTTCGTTGTACCCAAACAAACTTTTAATTCCATCCGCCACCAACTTTCTCAAGTATCCTGGTATCCCAGTAAAGGTAGTATCACTTACTACTTCAGGCAAGACATTTCATTTCCCGAGCTTCCTTTCTTCTCTCAACAAATCTTTGTTCATTGCTAACTTGATGCCAGCCAATGTGGATGTATTGATCAAGCAAAGAGACACGTTCTTTGTCCCCCTTGGGCTTAAAATCCTGTCCGCATACAGAGATAAATAATCAAAAGTTTGTAATTACACAAGAGGATAAGAGCTCTAAAGGAAAGGTGGAATTGCACAATATGGTGAGAGCTCGGGAGGAGCAGTTATCAGCCACCTGAGGCTATGCAAGGACAATGGAGAGAGGCAGCAGTTCAGGGCCCTGACACCAGAGGGAGCAGGGCTGCAGGGCCAAAAGGGAAAGAGCGGGATTCAAGAAGGGGTTCAAGCAGGGAAGCAGCCAATCAGCTGGGGTTGGGGAGATTTCCATGGATACTGAATTAGAGCACAGAGGAGGCCTGGGCACATGGAATGCCACTTTGGGTCCTACAGCCACAGATCAGGTGGAAAAGGATGCAGGTGCAAACAGAATGGGGTGCGGGATTTCTCCTTCGTAACGAAACCTCCCTACATCACAGGGTTGCCGCAAGAACTACGGGCGGCTGGGCGTATGTCTCCTTAGCAGGCTGTCTCTACCAAAGACATCTATTATCCTGGGGCCTTAAGGTTAATCAAGGTCCCAACACATTTTGCCAGCCAGTGCCAGGAAAAGACAAGACTTACGTGCACTAGTCAAGAATTTCACGGGAAGCCAGTGGAAGGGAGGCAGAAGGCTCCTGGGGTGGGAGCTGAGGCTCGAGGCTGGCCTGCACTCCCCCTGCGCCGCTCAGGCTGCACTCCAGGGCGGGCCTCCTGGCTCGGAGCACGCTCAGCACATCTGGCCCTGGCATCCGTGGCCGAGAAGGACTGCAGTCAGTCCTTAAAAGCCCAAGCGCCACAGACCTCACTCCCAAGTGAAATACAGCAAAACAGGCAGGCTGGGCATGGGCACAACCCACAAGGTTGTTTAAATAAATAAATACATATATATATATATATTTCAAATTCACAAACTAGGTAGGATTTTTTAGCCACTTCTGCGATACTTTAAGAGTCACTCTTTCTATTTAACATTTCCAATATGTCTGTTGCTTATCATCTTATGAGAGTGTCTACTTTAAAGCTAGAATGCAGACAGAACTAAATTTGGGAGTTCAAAATCTGGCTGGCTGACTACTGCCTCGGCTGCCATATGGTGACAATACTTTGATTACAACACATGAAACAGAATATGTGGTGGTATCTAAAGCAATACCTGACCCTACACAGTCCATTTTCAACAAATAGTAGTCACTGCTGTTTTATGGTTAAAATACACTTAGACTTGCAAACCACTAGTAGCAAGATAATATAAGTAGTAGTTTATAGCAAAATTTTGCATTTTTTTAAAGATGTACTTATTTATTTGAGAGGCAAAGTTATAGAGAGGCAGAGGCAGAGAGAGAAAGAGAGGTCTTCCTTCTGCTGGTTCACTCCCCAGATGGCCGCATCAAGCTGAAGCCAGGAGCCAGAACTTCTTCCCCGTCTTTCACATGAGTGCAGAGGCCCAAGGACTTAGGCCATTTTCCACTGCTTTCCCAGGCCACAGCAGAGAGCTGGATCGGAAATGGAGCAGCCAGGACTCGAACCATATGGGATGTCGGCACTGCAGGCAGCAGCTTTATCCACCATGCCAAAATGCCTGCCCTGGAATTTTATATTTTTTTAAGATTTATTTATTTGAAAGGCAGAGTTACAGGAAGAAAAAGAGGGAGAGACAGGGAAAGAGATCTTCCATTCACTGGTTCACTCTCCAAATGGCTGCAATGGCCAGGGCTGGACCAAGTCTAAGACAGAAGCCAGGAGTTTCCTAGGTCTCCTACATGCATGGCAAGGGCCAAGTACTTGGACCATCTTCCACTGCTTTCCCAGGCACATTAGCAGGGAGCTGGATTAGGGGTGGAACAGCCAGGATTTGAACCGGTGCCCATTTAGGACGCCAGCGTCACAGAGGGCAGCTTTACCCATTAAGCCATACTGCCAGCTCCAGCAGTTTCCCTCTCTCACACTAACTCCCCTACCCCTTCCCTGCCTCTCAAATAAAGAAAGGGGACCAGTGTTGTGATGCAGATTAAACCCGCATTCCACATCAGACTGCCAATTTCAGTCCTGGCTGCTTTACTTCCAATCCAGCATCCTGCTAATGTGCTTGGAAAGGCAATGGAAAATGGCCCAAGTACTTGGGCAACTGCCAACATGTAAGAGACCTAGATGAAACCAGCGGCTAGAAGGGAGAAGATATTTCTCATTCTCATTCTCTCTCTCTCTCTCTTGCTTTGCCTTTCAAATAAATAAATCTTTAAACAAAATTCTAATAGGCTCTGGCATAGCAGATTAAGCTGCCACCTGCAACACCAGCATCCCTTATGGGTACCAGTCGTGTCCCAGCTGCTCCACTTCTGATCCAGCTCCCTGCTAATGCAATTGGGAAAGCAGATGATGGCCCAAGTACTTAGGTCCCTGCCATCCACATGGGAGACCTAAATGAAGCTCCCAGCTCCTGGCTTCAGCCTGGCCCAGCCCTGGCTACTGCAGCCATTTGGGGAGTGAACCAGCAGATGGAAGACCTCTCTCTCTGTCTCTCCTTCTCTATCTGTAACTCTGCCTTTTAAATAAACAAATAAATCTTTAAATCATAATAATAATAAAAGAACTGAAAACATTCTCAAGAAAACAAGAGGCAGAAGTTCTGTCATCAGTGTTAATTACAAGCTCAGACAACATTCTGGTCTTTATATTCCTCATCTCTAGTAAGACACTGGATCAGAATGTATTCCATTTTATACCTTACTTATAATTTTCATTATCTTAAAGCCCTCATAGAAAATGAGACCTTAAACACACTTGTGGAAATCTGAAATGCATGATCATATAATGGCTAGCAGGAATAATTTAGCAATACTGGAAACTGTTATCTGAGAAAAACATTCAACTTGATAATATAACAGTCAATAAAATACTGACTATATTAGTGGTATTAAATATATAATATATATAAGCAGAAAAATGATTAAGGCAGTATCTTTATAGCAATTCAAGCACACACAAAACCTGAACATGGTCAGATCTACTCATTTGATCAAAATCTGCCATTTTTTATACTATTCTTCGAAGTGCAAGAATTCATCTCTTCCCCAAAGCCACTTCTGATTAATCCCAGCCCACTATATCACTGTCTCTTTAACATCTTGGGAATAATTTGTTTCATGTTATCTCCTACTCAGAGCCAACTCAGAATGTTAGAATTAGATATCTACTCCAACCCTTTAATTTTACAGCTAAGCAAACCAAGAATTAGAAAGACTCAAAGACCTGATGCACTGTTACACAGCTAGTCAGTAGCAAAGCCAAGACTTGTCCACGTGCTGCTCTGTAATTATTCTGGGGCTGTTCAGTGTTTGTACCCCACACTCGTGGTCTTATTTCAGGCTAACTCCTTGATTTCTTCTGACCCCACAGACAGCTTGACCACCATTTACTGTGCACTTACTGTGTGCTTCACAGTTTCCCATTCAGTCTTCTCAACAACCCAAAGAGACAGAAGAGTGAGGCTCCAAAGGTTGAAGCAGGGGCCGGCACTGAGGTGTGGCGGGTAAAGCCATCGCCTGCACTGCCGGCATCCCATATGGATGCTGGCTCAAGTCCCAGCTACTCCACTTCCGATCCAGATCTCTGCTATGTCCTGGGAAAGCAGTAAAAGATGGTCCAAGTCCTCGGGCCTGGAAGAAGCTCCTGGCTCCTGGCTTCAGATTGGCGCAACTCTGGCTGTTGCAACCAACTGGGGAGTGAACCAGCAGATGGAAAACCTCTGCCTCTCCTCTCTGTGTAACTCTCTGCCTTTCAAATAAATAAATAAATCTTAAAAAAAAAAAAAAAAAAGAGTGAAGCAATCCCAAGGTCCCAGGCTAGAAAGTTCCCAGCACCAGCATTTGAGCCCAAGTCCATGTAATTCTACAGCCTGTGCTCTTTACCGCTGCAAACAGGAGCTGCTTCAGAGGCAACTGACTGCCCAGGAAAAAAAAAAAAAAAGAAATATTGGCTCTACAGCTGGTCACAAAACCATGTGGACACCAGAGACCCTGTATGAACGGTCACATTCTGGCAGTGGACAGTCTGACAAGATCAGACACAAGGAACAAATGATTTTGTCTTGAAACCATGGTGGCAAGGTTTGATCAGTTTTATTCTGCTTCATTCATTCCCTCAACAAACACTCACCAGTATCTACCATATGTGGGGCACTGTTCAGGGAGCTGAGCACACAACAGTAAACTAAATACATCCCTGTTTTCATGGAGTTCACCTGCAAAGAAGGAGGGAGGGGAGACAGAAAAAATACATATCAAGGCATGGAAGTCCTACGGCAAAAAATAATGAAGCTCATAAAAGAGAGAGTGGAGAGAGAGATGCAAGGTCAAAGCCAAGAGGCATGAACACCACCCAGGGCTCCCACACAGGTGGCAGAGGCCCAAGCACTTGGGCCATCATTCACTGCCTTCCAAAGCACACTAGCAGGATGCTGGATCAGAAGCAGAGCAGCCAGGACTCAAACCAGCACTCTGGTATAGGATACTGGCATCTCAAGCAGCAGCTTAACCTGCTGCACCGCCAAGCCAGCCCCAGGGACAAGGCCTGGATGCTATCTGAAGGCAAGGCATTCCAGGCAGTGGGACTAGCAAGTGCAAAAGCCCAGAGGAGAGAGCATCCCAAGGGGTTGGGGGATGTAGGCACTGACTGCAGTGTAACGTACTGGAAAGTATGGGACCCCCACAGCCCACCTAGGTTTAAACCCTATAATTACAATCAACTTACTTAAACCTCCACGCCTGATGGGCAAAGTAGAGATGATGATTCTATCTCCTTCACGGGGTTGTGTTATGAGGACCAAGTGAGTTAATAACATAGCAAGAACTTAATACCTCGCGTGGTGCTGGGAGGGCTCAGCGAGTGACAGCTAGGGACGTTAAGTAGTCACTGTTCATTCTGCTTCCCATTTGATAATTTTGAACACTGTGGCAAAATTACCCACTGGCCTTACACGTGGCCAACAACTTCCTCCCAAGCCCTCGACTCCCTTGGTTGGGCTTCCTGTCCTGGGGAGGAGGGCCCTGTAGGAGCCACAGGGATGTTATCTTGGTAGAGGCAAGGTACCCTAACCTGAATGTTACACCAATATAAATCATGCTCCTCACGCCCTATAACCACTACCCGCTCCGATCCCACTCTTCACACGTGGTTCCTTCGCCCTTGGATGTAAGTCTAGTTTCATAGCACCGGGTCCCACCAGTCTCATTCCTCAGCGGCATCGCTGACTGAAGTAAGGAGGAATCGCAATTCAATCCTCTCTCTCCGGAAGGGTTAAAACGTCACTTCAGAATTAAGATGGTAATTGAACTTTTAAAAGAATCTTTCTCTGATGTCCTTTTTGCCTAAAACCAACATGTCTTTCCAAAGACATCTGAACATCAAAGCAAAACTCATCTGGCCTGGAAGATGCAATGCTGTTCCCTGGAGCCCAGCCCCCAAGCAGAGCAGCTTCTAGAAAGTACTGGGAGCCTCCCAGAGGGATGGGCTCAGAGCCAAGGGCAGATGTCGGGGCCACAGGGAAACTCTGCCTGCTGCCCCATCCCCTCCCCGCCGCAGCGCTTCTCTTTAATGCTGTGTTTACTTTTCATCTTTGTAGTCGAAGGGGTTAAAGGGCAAACCACAGGTGGAGAGAAACCGCGGCAAGCCCCTGCCTGTTAGAGGCAAAATGGGAGTCTTCCCAAACCACTTGTAAGGCTGGGGAGAGGCCCCAGTCGCTCAATTAAAAAGAGATCAGGGTTCTCGTCTAACAGGTCTTACACGAGGCTTTTAAAAATCAGATTCTCATTCTTCCAGACAAGCTAATGGTTTTCCCTTTCTAATGCCCTGAGTGTACAGTTAACTGGAGCTATCAGAAACCCATAAAATCTACTTCTGCTCACTCACTGATTCATTCCACAAGTATTTATCAAGCATCTGCTCCATGCCAAGACTGTGCTAGGTATGGAGACTCAACAGGGAACAAAACATACAAAGCCCTGCCCTCGTGGAGTTCACATTGTAGTTTGGAGACAGACCACAACCAAGACCCAGCAGATAGGGATAAATGCTCTAAGAAAACGCACCAGAGAAGAGCAAAGGAAGCATGTGTGTCGGCCTTTGGTTTAGTTTGGTTTCTCGGTTTTGCCTAAGGATCTACAGGAAGTCAACTATGTTGATATCCAGGAAAGAAACATTCCAAGAGAAGGAAACAGCACATGCAAAGGCCCTGTGACAGCATGTCTGACCTGCTCAGGGAACAGTGCAGATCAGGCAGCTGGAGCAGAGTGAGCCGAGAAGAAAGGTAACAGCCTGAAGTGATGCGCTGGCTGTCCAGGACTTTCTGGATCACTGTAAGAACTGCAGCTTTTACTCTAAGAAAGACAGGAACAGTCAAGCATGTTAAGCAAAGGAATGATGGGATCTGACTTAGGCTCTATCAGAGGCCTGCTGGCTACTGGGTAAAGACTGGACTGCAGAGGGACAGGGCAGGCAGCACTGCCCACCAGTTGCATGGCCCTGGGCAGCTCACCTAACCGCGCTGGTTGTTCTCATCTTCAGAGAGACTTAGGATTATTTCTTTCCTTTTTTTTTTTTTTTTTTTTTTGACAGGCAGAGTGGACAGTGAGAGAGAGAGAGACAGAGAGAAAGGTCTTCCTTTTGCCGTTGGTTCACCCCCGCAATGGCTGCTACGGCCGGCACACTAAAGCCGGCACACCGCGCTGATCTGAAGGCAGGAGCCAGGTGCTTATCCTGGTCTCCCATGGGGTGCAGGGCCCAAACACTTGGGCCATCCCCCACTGCACTCCCAGGCCACAGCAGAGAGCTGGCCTGGAAGAGGGGCAACCGGGACAGAATCCGGTGCCCCAACCAGGACTAGAACCCGGGATGCCAGCGCCGCAGGCGGAGGATTAGCCTAGTGAGCCATGGCGCTGGCCATGATTATTTCTAAAAGGCCTACTCTAACCCTAAACGCCTCGATTCTCAGTTGTTTTCCTGCATCCTTTCTGTAGCTATAATCTAGAATGGTGGTTAAGTTTGAGTTTTCCCCAAAGCTTTAACTGAACTGAAGCTGAGTCGGAGAATTCAATTTGACAACACATATTTCAGAGCAGATGTATGCGACACACCCAGGATACAAACAGATAAGACTTGGCCAGAGGAAGAAAACAGCTCTCAGGAGCTAGCAAAAGCAGCACCTGCCAGGAGGAGTCTGGAGGAGCTGACATCAGTGAGAGCCTCCAATAACAGAAGCGGACCACCTTGGGGAAGGGTCAGGGTGAGGCAGGGAAGTCACACTGGAAGGAGGGATGTGCAGCAAAGGAACACGGGGTGCCTGGGAAACCACAGGGGACTCATACAAGCATAGTGAGGTTCCTGGAGGAAAGAAAAAGTAGGCTGAGGCCTACTGACAACCACCACGCTGTCCATGCTAAGGACAATGGAGTGGCAGACTTTTCAAATGCAAGAAACCAAAGAATCAGTTTTAGAAGGTATCAAGGATAACGGATGAATGATTTTAGAGAGAGATGCCAAAGCCTGGAAAACCAGCTGGAAGGTGAACCCAATAGCCCAGGTGAGATGATAACTTGGAAACAGAGAAGAAAATGCCAACTGGAGAGATGTGCTAGGGGCAGCGTTGTAGCACAGTGGCAATGCCACTGCCCCATACTGGAGCACTGGTTCAAGTCCCAGTTACTCTGCTTCCTATCCAGCTTCCTGCTAATGAGCCTAGGAAAGCACCAGAAGATTTTTCCAAGTAATTGGGCCCCTGCCACCCACAGAGGAGGCCCTGATGAAGTTCCTGGCTCCTGGTTTTGGAGACTTGGGGAGTGAACCAGCAGAAGGAAGAGCCCTCTGTCTGTCTCTGCCTCTCAAGGTAAGACATGACGAGACTGGGATTCCTCAGCTCAGGGAAGTAATGAGGAGACAGTGAAGCATGACTCAGGCTTGCAGCTTGGTAACAGGTGCCGCTGACTGACAGACTGACATGGGACATAAAGGAGATGAGCCTGTGGACCCCAGAGTCGGCATATGTTGGCTGCTGGAGTTAACTTTCCCAGAAAGACCTACAGAGCAACCAGGCGGCACAGGCCAAGGGCTGCTGGAAATACGGGTATGAGACAAAGCTGGGACTTTCTAGCATACATTGCCTTTGAAGTTCAGAACTGTACGACAGGAAGAGAAAGAGAGAAGGAAAACAGAACCTCAAGGGATGCACCAAGGGACCCACTGAAAACAAGACTGAGGAGACAGCAGAAACAGAAGTGGAAAACCCAGAGACCCTTTCCAGGGAAACCAAGAAAATAAAACCAGGGGAGAAAAGGAGAGTAAAGCAGCAGGTGCAACAAGGCAAGAACGAAGCAGATGAAGAAAACCAGCATGGAATTGTGGCCCCTGCACCTTTTCTCATGCCACATCACGCCTGCGTGGGAGCAGGCTGAGAAGTCAACAGTAGGTGAGAAGAGAACAGAACCAAGAGCCCAGGAAAGGGTCCCATTCAACACCTTGTGAAGGTGTAAGGTGTGAGAAACGGAAAATATGAGCTTCTGCTGGGGGAAGACTTTTTTTTTAAGATATATTTATTTGAGAGGTGGAGATAGAGAGAAGGAGAGACAGAGAAAGGTCTTGCATCCACTGGTTCACTCCCCAAATGGCTGCAACAGCCGGAGCTGGGCTGATCTAAAGGAGCTTCTTCCGGGTCTCCCACACGGATGAAGGGGCCCAAGCACTTGGGCCATCCTCCGCTGCTTTCCCAGGCCATAGCAGAGAACTGGATCAGAAGAGGAGCAGCCAGGATACGAACCAACACTGTAGGTGGAGGCTTAGCCCACTACAGCACAGTACTGGCCCGGAAGGAAACTTCTTAGTTAACACCCAGGTCTCGCGGCCCCACTAATCCTGAAAGCAGCGGCAGGTGTTCAGAGAGGCTTGCTGCTTCTGACACAGGCTGAGGACAACACATTCACCTACGCAAGGTCCGACCTCTCAGATCCCCGCCTCCACGCTCTGCTCACACCAACTCCTGCTGCTTCTCCCCACTGCTCAGCACCAGGGCCTACATTTGTGTTCATGGTGAAAAAGCCTAACAAGAAAACCATAGCATCAACTACCAGGTTTGGGGCCATGAGTCCCTAGCCCAGCACTGGTCAGCATGAAGCCTCACTAAAAACATAAGTGGGGCTCTGAACACTGGGCCTACACCCCTCAGCATCAGCAGGAGCTGCCCAACTGCTCTTC